GCCCTCCGCAAAACGGCTCGGGCCCGCCCCGCGAGCCACAATGGCTACGGCTGGTGGTGATGATGAGGGGGGGGAGGAGGAGGAAGAAGAGGAAGATGAGGATGATCAAGACCTTCATGACGTGGTCACCCGGTCCGCCAACTTGCCTATCTGAGTGGCGCCTCCAGCGACAGGAGCGTCATGCCCGTAAAGCTCACGGCACCGCACTGTGGCATGAAGGCGCGCTCAACAACAATCCACTGGGGAGTACGCATGTAACTATGGATGATAGCCGGATATCTTGCGCACCTGCGAGCCCCATCGAACGACAGACGGACGAACGAAACAAGAGGCGGGAATCTTCAGCGCCAAGGCGGGAGAAGAGAACGCTTCGCATCGTCAGCAGCGCGGCGCCATGTTGATAACAAGGCATGTTGCTCAAGCGGCGTTGAACAATGAAGCTCACCACCGGAGTGTAGAGCGATGCAGAGACATTGACCCGATATGACAGGCCGCGCACATTCCTAAACTCCGACATCCTTGAACGCACGACGGACAGACAAGGAACAAATAGGGCGGGAACATTCGGCGCTTGGGCGAACTCGAAGGGGCGCCCTGCCTGAGGCGGAGCAAGGCGCATTTGGAATGGTCGGCCCTGCGCGCTCGCTGAGGCGGCAATGGCCGAGACGGCTTGGCACCATGCTTTTTCCACTGCGGAGCCGGCACAGGCTATCTTCCTTGTTCGGATCCCGATTAGCATCGGGCGTGCGAGGACGGAGGAGACCTCCCCGTGCGACGCCATGACAATACGGAGCACGCGGCCCGCGCAGGACAAAGAGACCGGGCAAGGGTGAAGCCTGTGTGTCCTCTGGCAGAGGGCGGGGAAACGCCCCCAGAGCTGGGCAAGACTGGCCCGCGGACCGCGGCGCTGCCCCGTTCCGTCTGGCCACCCCTCGTGCGTTCGGGTGGAGGCGGCGCAGGCGGCCCCTCGCGAAACCTCGCGAGCTTCAGCCGCCTCCCTGGGACAAGACGGGCCCCTGTCGCGCCGCCCCCCGCCGTCCCACCCGCCCCGCCAGAGGGCGAAGATAAGGAGGAGGTCCAGTGCAGACCCAACACGCGTCAACGTTGTTGCCATCAACCCTCCCTCCAAATCCCCTCTCCACAAGTGCCTCTAACACTCTGTACTCATTGCGGGAGGTGTCTCATTGGAAGCCAACCGTATGATAATCCCCAATGTCAATGCCGAGAATCAACGTCAACGTTGCGTCCTGACAATCCTAAATCGTGCCAGGTCACAGACGCTGCGAGCCAACGTGACTGTTTCAACTTGACAAGTCGAGATCGTTCCAGGAAACAGCCCCTGGGACTTCAACACCGAGGATCATCTTGACTGTTGCGTCCTGCCAATCCTGAACCGCACCCGTACACAATTCCTGGGGCTTCAACCGTACGAACCCTTGAACATGGTGCGATTTTGTAAGACGAATGTGCGCGATGCTGAGACGAGAACCACAACTCAAAAAGGAACCGACATCCATCTTTGAAGCTGCTGCAAGCTTTGAACAAGAATGTGCGCGGCTCTAAGACGAGATTCACATTTTGAAAACTGGCCGCCCTCCACGCCGGGCTCGGCCTACCAACACGTCTGGGGGGGCGACAGCTGTTTAAATGTATACGCATATACTTTTTGCGAACAAATACAAGAAAGAGGAAAGAGGATGCGTAGGAAGAGGCTGAGGCAGCAGAGGCTGTAGCGGGCTCTGCGGGCCAAGCAACAAGAGGACGTGGAGGAGGCAAAGGAAGAGAAGGACAGGACGAGGATGAACAAAACGGCGCCGCCTGCCCAACCGTCCCAGCGATTCAAACGTTTCCCTGCATTGCAGTGTTAGGCAATGCTGTGCCTTTTATTGCTAGTGAATGCGTTCGGATTTCAAATTAAAGTTTGTCTCGCCTTGCGCTGCATTGAAGCAGGACTGGAGCTGAAATAAGCAACGTCTACAAACATCCAAAAGAACATGTAATTGGCTGTCAATGACTTTCTGTAGACAAACACGTACCACACACACTCATGCTGTCACCAAAGTCAACATGCTTACGTGCGGGAGTAACCGTCAATTGCGGCATGGTTCAGCTTTAGGATCGGGCTATGCTGCGGCCGAGAGGGCAGCAGAGCATGAATTCAATAACGAATGCATGACGAACACGGGCTTGGCAAACCTCCCCAAGAGCCTGCGGTACGCATAGCGTTCTGGCAACCTCCACCTTAGCGTCTTCGCATCGATACGTTTGGCTACTCAATCAAGTGCGGGATGCGCAACGGCCCAACTGCAAGATGAGCTTGATACCGTCTCCCGAGCTGTTCAGAGGTGCGAAGCCCTCTGAGCTTATGATGCGCCACTGTGGGCGGGCGTGCACATCCAATCTACTACAGGGGTTCCAGTTTCAACTCTGCTAATCTGCGCATCCATTTACGTCTCCTTCGGCGTTGTTTCAAGCCTGCTCACCCATACCCTCCTCCTTCTCCTGAGCCCTCTTCTCCCCCTCCTCCTCCTCCTCCTCCTCCTCCACCAGCGGCGGACTGCGGTCCTGGCGCAACCTGCTCCACCTACTCCTCCTCCTCCTCCTCCTCCTCCTCTTCCTCTCTCCTCCTCCTCCTCCTCCTCCTCCCCCTCCCCCCTCCTCCCACTCCTCCTCCTCCTCCTCCTTCTCCTCCTCCTCCTCCTCCTCCTCCTCCTCCTCGTCCATAATCCCCCTCCAACAGCTGGGTTGGAGGGCTGTGGGCGAAGGGCTGGGAAGGCAAGCAATGGAGCGGAGGAGGGAGAGAGGGGCATGCAAGCAAGACGGGAGGATGAGGGTGAGGAGGAAGGCCGGAGGAGGAAGGAGGAGGAGGAAGAAAGAAGAGGCAAAGCCGGGGGGGTATAGCCTCCCCTCCCCATGCCCAAAACCCAACATCCTCTGCCATGACCCCCTTTGGAACCCTCCCGTCCTCCCCCTCCTCCTCCACAAGAAATCTCGGGATGTCCCTTTGGGACGCCCGAAGTGGGTACGGAAAACACGGGTACGATGCCCAACAACAAATGTTGTCCAAAACCGACAACCGCCGCTGTTCGGCAGGCGGCCTTCTGTCTCAAATGGACAACGTCCGCGGCGACGCCGACAGAGAGCTCTGATCAAAATGGAGAGGAACTGCTGTTATTCTTCGTCCCCGTTCTTTCCGTACCCATTTCGATCGTACTGATCCCTGGAGGCCTCCGCGGAGGTCTCCGGCCGGAGGCAAAGGTAGTAGTTACCACAAATCATAACAGGAAGTGATCGCAACAGATCCACTTGAGGCGCATCCCCGATCTCAACCACTGCTTGCACGGCAACTTACAGCACACGATCGCTCGAGAGCGGCAAAGAGGGGGGTGTCCAAGAGGGGGGGTGCAAATCATGGCCGGCGGCATGTGTGCGGCCCAGTGGGGGGGCCAGGGACGTATTGAAATAAGACGAGGCGCCATGACATCCGGGGAAATATCATGGCCCCCGCCATGATATCCAGCCCCCCCTAGTCATCACCCCCCTCTTTTCCGCCCCCGAGATCGCCTCCGATCCTCCTTGGTGCATCTCCGGTCTCATGCACTGTTTGGTGTCGGACTCGTTGTCATCCCCTGTGGCAGGACATGCCGCTGCCTTCGTGCGGGTGTGCCGTGCCGCGCGCGAGCAAGGCAGCAAGAAGTCCATACTGCGACGGTGCAAGTGCCTGGCTGTATTCCAACCCTACCCAGACCCAACAATGCCTAGGCTTAATGCGGGATGACGATTAAAATTATCCCGGCAAAGCAACCTAACAGCGATGTGTAGGAGCATATCTGGAAGCATTCCCCTTAAGATTCACATGAGAATCCAGTTGTAGAATTCTGCTGTTCTCGCAGTCGCAGTCGCATTCGCGATGAAAGTCGCAGTGGCAACGGCAGTCGCAGTCACAGCCTCAGCCTCAGCCTGCCTCAGCCTCAGCCTCAGCCTGCCTCAGCCTCAGCCTCAGCCTGCTTCAGCCTCAGCCTCAGTCTGCCTTCAGCCTCGGCCTCAGCCTCAGCCTGCCTCAGCCTCAGCCTGCATCAGCCTCAGCCTCAGCCTCAGCCTGCCTCAGCATCAGCCTGCCTCAGCCTCAGCCTCAGCCTGCCTCAGCCTCAGCCTCAGCCTCAGCCTGCTTCAGCCTCAGCCTCAGTCTGCCTTCAGCCTCGGCCTCAGCCTCAGCCTGCCTCAGCCTCAGCCTGCCTCAGCCTCAGCCTCAGCCTGCCTCAGCCTCAGCCTGCCTCCATCAGCCTCAGCCTCAGCCTCAGCCTCAGCCTGCCTCAGCCTCAGCCTGCCTCAGCCTCAGCCTCAGCCTGCCTCAGCCTCAGCCTCAGCCTGCTTCAGCCTCAGCCTCAGTCTGCCTTCAGCCTCGGCCTCAGCCTCAGCCTGCCTCAGCCTCAGCCTGCCTCAGCCTCAGCCTCAGCCTCAGCCTGCCTCAGCCTCAGCCTCAGCCTCAGCCTCAGCCTCAGCCTGCCTCAGCCTCAGCCTCAGCCTGCTTCAGCCTCAGCCTCAGTCTGCCTTCAGCCTCGGCCTCAGCCTCAGCCTGCCTCAGCCTCAGCCTGCATCAGCCTCAGCCTCAGCCTGCCTCAGCATCAGCCTGCCTTCAGCCTCAGCCTCAGCCTCAGCCTGCTTCAGCCTGAGCCTCAGTCTGCCTTCAGCCTCGGCCTCAGCCTCAGCCTGCCTCAGCCTGCCTCAGCCTCAGCCTCAGCCTGCCTCAGCATTCAAAATGTGGCCCGGGAATTGAGTTCTGGGAACTCGAAGAACACGAAGTGGCCTGCAGTTGGTTCTGGGCATTCAAAATCATGCCCAGGAGCGGAGCTCTGGGAACTCGAAGACCACGAAGTGGCCTACAGTTGGCTCCGGGCATTCAAAATCCTGCCCAGGAATGGAGTTTTGGGAACTCGAAGAGCACGAAGTGGCCTACAGTTGGCTCCAGGCATTCAAAATGCGGCCCAGGAGTGGAGCTC